AGATTTATCTCCTTTCTCCCATTGTAGTCTCCTCTATAGCACCTGTGTTTTATAAGTTTTCCTAGTAAAGCGGTAGGAATCTAATATGCATTCTTCTTGTCAACTTCCTATATAGTAAGTTTTTAGTTTTTCTTCTAATTTTTAAATGGTGAAACTTTCATATTGACTCACAAAACAATACATTTTAATTTTGAACTCAGGAAAATTGAAATATTTTACTTTAATTTAAGAATATTTAGTCCTTTCACTTCAGTCATCATATTACCTTTTACCAAAAGGTACATCAGCCAGTCTTTAATGAAAAATTCATGAACTTTTCACTATATACGTAAATATTATATTATATATAATGTATTAATTCCATTAGGAAATAATTTTGTTAGGAAATGTATTTACTCATGTCATTTCCTAACAAAATGTTAGATAATTTATTTAAAAATAATGTATTCTTTAATAAAATTTGAAGATTCACACGATTGATTCGGTCTTCATTACTGCAATATAGATTTTATGAGGCACATGTTTCCCCTCCTAGATAAAGATTTTCCCCTTAGATTTTGTTATGGTCAATTATGGGATGTTAAAGTGAAAGCAATAAAAGAGAAAGGGAAGCTTAGAGAAATTTTATATGAAGAGATCAGTTAGCAAATGTCAATTTACATAATAAAAGAATAAGAGAATGTAGTGATATATCCTAGTGGTAAGAGATCTCTCTCTGGAGATACAGTGTAGTGTATCTCCATTATTAGGAATTCCATTATTAGGAATGTTTTGACCTGAGAAGGACTAAACATGGAAAAACACTAAGAATGGTAGAATCTCTATTCAAATGTAAGTCAGTATTTAAATATGAAAAATAGGAAATTAATTTCAGAAATAATTTTTTTGTTAAAATATTTAACCCAATTCATTCCTAGGGCAACTTCAATTTCATATTAGTGAAATGAACATTAAAAGTGACATTTATATATTTCATTTTCTGTATATATTGTTGGGAAGGAAATATTTCCCTGTACCCTTCAAGATTCTTCTAGCTGGCCTAAGAATTAAACTAACATGAGACAGACTAACAGGAGAAAATCTAATTTAATTACGTACATGAGAGAATCTCCACACACACACGAGATTCCAGACAGGCAAGCAAAATGAGGTACACATGTCATCCTAACCTACAGAGATGGGAATAGGGGCCTGGGACTTTAAAGGGAAGGAAAGCAATTGACAGGAAGATGAAAATGGCTAAACGTTCGGTAAACAAATGCTAGCCGGGCCACCCAGAAACAAAGGGACACAGAGAGGAATTCTAAAAGTTTGCTAAATTTCTCCTGGGCTACCACCTCTAGATCATATTATAACGTGGTTACCTAGGGCAACAGCTCTCCTCCTGGAGCAGGCCCCCCCGCCCAATTCTTTTTAGGCAAGTCGAAGTTCTTCCTGAGGCTTTTGGGCCTTGATGCTTTCAGTTCAAAATAACCTGCGTGCCAAAGTGGAACATTTGGAGGCCACCTGCCTTCGTCCTCTGTCGTAAACATATGTGTATGTCTTCTTTTACGTACAATGAAACGCAAAGCTTTTAACTCTACAGTTTGATGAGTTTTGACCAAAATATACACCTATCTCACTACTATGCAACTCAAATCAAATTCCACTATGACTATTTGCATTTGTCTTTCTACTATTCAGCTGTAGGACTTTAATATGTTTTGAACACAAGTCTTTTGTTTTATATACGTGTATACACACATAAAGTATTCATATATATAAAGTATTTTCTCCTTACCCATGATTGACTTTTAATCTTCTGAACTGTGTCTTTTGAGAAAGAATTTAAAATTCCGATGAAGTCCAATTCATCATGTTTTTCCTTTTATAGTTGTCCTTTTTCGGTGCTAAGAACCATTTGCCTACTACAAGGCCAGAGAGATATTCCCTTAAGATGGTTTTCAGGTCTGCTATGTGTTTTGAATATTTTTGTAAATTTGAGATTTAAGTGTCTACCTTGCTTCTTTCTTCCTCCCTTCCCTGCTTATTTCTGTTTTAAAAATCTGGGTATCAGTTGTTACAGCACTATCTGTTGAAAGCCTTCCTCACTGAAATATGTTGGAAACAAATGGGCCATGTTTTATGAGTATATTTCTGTATTTTTAATTCTTTTCCATGGCATCTGTCCTGACACTAATGCCACAAATTCTGATTACCGCATCTTTATAGTTAACTGTGAAATTAAATATTCTTTTCTATGTTTTCATGATTTTTTGACCATTCTAGTCCTTTGCAGTTCTCTCTATGCTGCAGGATCAGCTTGTCAATTTCTACCAAAAAAAGGAAGCAGATATTTGACTGGAATTGCTTTGAATCTGTAAGTTAACTTAAGGAGATGTATTTGCATTGCCTTATATTCGAACGTATGAACGTTATTTTTGTGCCTTAGTGCCTTGGCTAGGACCTAATGTGTGATGCTCAATGGAAACGGTTCAAGCGGACATTTTTGCCTTGTTCCTATGGGACATGTGTTTAATATTTCATGGGTAATTATTATTTTAGTTGTGGGCTTTCATAAATATCCTTTACTAGATTCAGGAAATTCCATTTAATTTGTAGTTTGCTGAGGGTATTTTAAAAAATATTTCATGAGGAAATGTTTAATTTTGTCCAATACTTTTACACTAATTAATATTTGAATGTTAAAGCATTATTGCAGGACTTGCAGGATCTCTACGTGTAAAAAAGATATTTACAGTATCTCTACATATAAAGATCTTGGAAAGTTCTGTTCTTAAGACAAGAAAAAGTTAAAAAAAATGGCTTTTCTTGGGCCCATCAGAGAACTGAGGTCACAGCGAGAAAGGCTACATAAAAATCTGCAGAGACTCTAGAGGCAAATACAGCTAAAAGAGCTGAGACGAGCTTACCTGGAGCAGAGCTTGTGGGGTCACAGACTGGGAAGAACACTTACTTGTTAGCTTTGACCAACTGCTGAAGGTGAGGAGTGGACACGCCTGTAAGCAAAAGACACCGCCCTGGGGCTACAGTCTTGGGGGACCTGCACACTCATGGCCTTGTGTTCAGAAACTCCATCAGATAGATGTAGTATGTCATATACAGTATAGATACCAATCCAAGTATACTGACATTCACTTTAAATGTGAACAGTCTAAATGCATCAATTAAAAGGCAGAGATTATCAGATTAGATTAAAAACAAAACCACAAAATGACCCAACAATGTGTTGTTTACAGGAAATCCACTTAAAATTTTAAAGACAAAAGTCAGTTAAAAGTAAGGATGGAAAAAAACACCATGCTAACACTGACCAAAGAAGGCTGGGGTAGCTGCATACTTTAGACAACATACTTTAGAAGAAAATTGTAAGGGACAAAAAGAGGGGCATTGTATAATGATAAAGGACTCTAGTCTTCAGGAAGACATAACAATGTTGAATGTGTTTGCATAATACAAGAATGTGAGAACAAGGAAAACTTTTGCTGTCTCAGCAAATCATTTGAAACTTGCAAATTTGGTTCATCTGTTTTCTTTTTTACAAAATGTGAACATCTCATGTGACTTCTCCTTTTACTTTGAATTCCCTGATTTTGTTTCCCACAAACCATCTCCACGTGGTTACTTAAATGTTTGCAACAACAAAATCAAGGGTTCTTTTTTTTGGGAGGGGTGTAATTTTAGAAATATTTTTAATCTCTGAAATGCAATAAATTTAAATTAGAATTTAATTAGGAACATACATTAGCTATAAAAAAAGAAGCAATATGAGATTAATATCATGGCAAATACATAAAAACCAGGGGAAATTTGTAAACTCCTGATGCTGTCAAAACTGTTTCAACTGAGGGACCCTCTAAGGAATGACATACTGAGTCAGAAACTCTTGAGTTTGGAATAAACAGTACCAGTCAGTGTAGAATGTGTCAGTGTTATTTTCACAGAAACATAAATGAGCCTTAACATCACTTTTCTCCCGTGGCAGAAAACCCAGGCAAAACTGTGTTTTGGTAAACCACTGAACAGTATATACATTTTGAAGGAAAGTCATGGAAGTTGTTTCGCAATGCAAAGAGAGAAAATTGTAAACTACAAACAAAATTCAAACAGGATGTTTTCAAAAACTCCTTAAAGATCGTTTTCAGAATGCTGTTGATATGTCCCAATTTATTTGAGAAAAGCACAGGATAAGCCAACTCAGATGGGATTTGTACCTCAACTGCATCAAATGATGCATTTTAGTGACTCAAAAGAAAACAAGTAATTAACCAGCCTGGATTTTAATATTACAGTTAAATCAAAAGATTGACTTCACTATTTACACTGTTATATTGCTTTTTGTTATATATATCTAGCCAGGTCTCTGAAGACAATACTTTTACATAATACTTAATAACATGAAGATATTCCAAGAAATGTTCTTTTCTATTGCATTATGATTGAGAGCATTGTGAAAACAGGAAGGCATTGTAAATAGGAGATGTGTGATATAATAATTATTATCTGCTTTCCATGGTATTTTACAGGCAAGTGAAAATTTGTTATTATGGCTTGTTTTATTATCAGAAATGTAAAGCTGCTTTTTTAGAGCAGCTTTGGGTTTTAGAAATATACACAGCTCAACTTTGGATTACCTCATGTGGAAAACACAGGTTAATGTTTTCCTCCTATTTCTGTACCGGTAATTCTTTGTATTACTCTGGTCCTTGTGTACAGGGAACAGTGTGAGGGAGCTATGAGCCATGCCCTTTAAAGAGTTCCTGGTGATGTTCCTGAGATTTCCGGCAGCCATGATCATGGTTCAAAGGATTTGCGACTTTTAATATTTCAGCAAAATCTTCCAATGTCACTCTTAGTTTGGAATATTGAAACTAGAATTCATGGTTGCATGTTTCCATTTCAAGGAAGTAAGTACAAAAGATGAAATCAAGTCCTGGAAACAGGAATCATGTTTAGTGGCCGTGATGTACTATATAAAAATCAGTGTGCTTTTCACTTACCATCTGCTCCAAATCCTCCTTGTTCTTTAGAAAATGGAAACAGGAAGTACAAACGTCCACTGTAACCTACAGATAAGAGAAAAGGCTCTTTTGACCTGTTTTCTGTTTTTGGATTTGTTTGGTTTCAGTGAGCGGGCTGCTAAAAGCAGCTCTTCTGTGTCCCCGTTGCAGGAAAGACCCACCAGGAGCCACCCTGCGAGCACAGCGCCGAGTTCCTCCACCTGCGAACTAGCTGGTTCTGCCCAGGCAGCCTCAGTCCCCTGGCCTGTTGGACCTGGTTTTTCAGGAATATTTTTATGATAGTTTATGTATGAAAAATACGGAAATGTAGTTTATTTTTGTTGTTATTCTTGTTTTAGCTGCACTTTTTGGTACAGCAAGTCATTGTGACTCTCAATTCTAACACACACAGGTTGCGCTAAAATGGTGTGAGAACAGGACAAAGCCCCAGAGCATGGGGACATCACCCTCTTTATAACTGATGAGTTATTAATGCTATTACTTTTCCTCCCTCCAAACAATGGCACTCTGGTAAGGCAAAGGATGTTTGGGGCCCCAGTGTGCTCAGAAAGTACTGAGGAATCGGAAGTACCTCGTTCCCAATGGGGCAAAGTTCAACTCCTTATCATCCCACATTTTCCACTGGACACATTTGCTTTAAGTTTTAGGCAAGACACTGGGGCTCAAAGTGAAGGGCCACTTGAGGGAACTGTTCTAATGGATGAGGTTAAACTAGTCCTCTATTATTCTAAATCACATTATTAAAGAACAATAAACCAAGGGGAAATGGCATTGCTCTGTGCATCTATGTCCAAACACAGAAATTCAGGAAGATATGGAAATTTGATTGAGTGCTTCCTAGGTACAATAGGCATTATTTCCCAAACACTACCTTTTCACACAATGTTCATGAAGTAAATGTCATCATTATACCCCATGCTGAACAATGAGGAAACTGAGGCACGGAACGGTTAATTGTCCAAGGACTTGAACTCTATCTACTGCAGAGCACAAACTCCAAACACCATGTCACAGATTATTTGAATTTAACACATTATGACAAGGCAAAGTAAACTCTTTTCAAATTCTGGTATATTAAGATAGAAAATGCCAAGTATTCTCACCATGGGAAGGTGGCCGTGTAAGCAGAATAAAAGACAGAGTTAGTTTTTCAAAAACAGAAAATGGCTGGACAGTTATTTGCCAGTTAAAATCCTACTGAAAAATTTATTTAATTGAACTTGTCCTGAACACATAAGATCATCAGCATAAATTCAAGCCAAAGAACCATCTGTTTTCTTCTCTTTTAATGACTTTGTCAGCATGTGTTTTTCCAACACTTGTGCAGAATTCCCGAGAGCCACGTAGAGCCATGCTACGGAACCCCAGGAGTACCCTTGGAACACCAGGTAATATTTCATGTTCTGATTACTGTGAAGAAAGCAAGAGGCTTTCTAATTGTGTTAGAAGAAAGGAAGAAAAATACAAAAATCCAGCATAAAATTTTGGAGTCTGATGTCAAGTCTTGACTTGACATGCTCTAAAATTGGGTGCAAACATTAAGTCTTTCAATCCTTAGTATCAACTATCAGAAAAACATCATGCAAAAAGACTGGGTATTTCCATAAAGTTTTCCTAGAGAAAACCATAAATACTCTGTGAGGCTGGTTTCTGTCATTTAGTCTGTCTTTGACCTACTTCTTAAGGCAATCATGGAACAAACCCTTCTTATCCTCCAAAATATGCATTATAGATGCAGCCAGACTTTCAAAGTTTATTAGAAGGCTAGGTCCTTGGCTACTTGGGTTAAACTTAATTATAAGTACTTAGAACTTTATACACAGATACATAAATATAAATTCTGCCTGGATCTTGCTTTCCTTTGCTTTCTTTGTTTTTTTGTGTGTGTTTGTCTACACAGTGCTATGAAGCAAACACATGTAAGAAGAGTCTGGCCCATGATACAAAAACAGGATCACATAGGGATTGTTATTGGTCATGAGGATGCATTTTGTGGTTTGATAAAAGCTGTCTTTGAGAGAAAGTGATGGCGGGGTTGTATCAGCCTCTCCTGGACTTGGAGAGGGAAGGGTTAATTAAGAGTGGATTACTGGGTTCCAATCCAGCCTCTGCTTCCTGTAGGGCCGGCTACTGGTGTCCCTGTGCTTCAGGCTCCTCTGGTGGAAAATGGGGTTGATAACTGGCACTACCGCCTCCTGGCTCACTCCTGCGCGTAAAGATTTCAGTTCTTCACTTGTCATTACTGTCTCCTGTATTGACTTGGATGTTTTCCGTATCCATGTAGATTATCCTGGCAACATCCAGACCTCTTATTTTCTTGTCCTCCCTATTTCAAATACGCATTTGCACGTTTGGAAATAAAAATACATATTATACTTTGTTTGTAAAAATAGAACACACCATGCCAGCAGATGTATATGAAAAGATTTATTCAGCAAGATTCTTTTAGACACAGGGATGACACAGTAATGACATATAGAAATGAATTGTACAGTGTTTATGCTTTTGAAATCACAAGAGAGGAGGGAATGGAGGAGGTGCAGTTTGGGAAGATTCGTGTGGAAGGAAATCCCTGAAATAATGGGGAAGTGCTTTGTGTGGTGGATAAACAGGAATATATTGAACATGAAGGTAACTCAAGATCATTTGCTGGCCAATCCTCTTCCTCGCAGACTGATCAGTGCAAAAAAATTAAATATTTCTGCATCACCCTGCTCTTTTTCCTTCGATTGCATGCTGCCCTTGCCTGGACAGATGCTCTGGGGAGTAGGGCAGGAGAGTCAGCCATCAAAATGAAATTTTCTTTTGTATTATTGTGCGAGCAGAGAAAAATCAGTTGGGATGTATGGAAAAATATTTCCACAAAAGGAAATGAGAGCACGCCAAGAACACAGGAGAAATGCTTACTTCTGAAATTGATTTTTTTTTTGCAAAACCACATCACAATGCCATTTCTTCATGTGTTCAATGAGAAATGTTATTGATGGTAAAACTACAGGTCATTATAGAGACAGTAAAAACAAAATTGAGAACAACTGGAGTGGAAAATGTAAGCAAAGTTTTTTTAAAAAGCAAGAGCGCAAATGAGATGTTTTAAGGAACAGGTTTTATAAAGCAGAAATTAAATCAGAGTCAATTTAAAAAACACACCTGCTGACTAAGCACAGAGAGGAAAGAAGGAGATGGACGTTGTAAGATAGGACATAAGGTATTGAAGATATGATCTATTATTATACAATATGAGGGAGAATAGAATAACTGAAGGGGAAGATGCAATCAGATACAGAGAGCAAAGCAAGGATCGTTTGATGAGTAAAACATCATCAGCTGATGTTGTTGAAGACTTACCAAGCCTGAAGACTAACTAAAGAAAAGATTCATACCTGGTTATAATCACCTGTGGACTTTATTGGCATTCATACCTTTAAAAATAAAATTATTTACAAAAAAATGCAAATAAAGTGACAGTATGTTTCTGCATAATCACTTAACAAACCAGAAAAGTAATGATGTAATATCTACAAATGCTGAGTGGA